GAAAAAAGGAAGGAACCAAGGAAGTCACTCCAAACCTTTCACAGGGTCACATCCACACCCCAGAGACTCCAAGGGTCACATCCATACCCTGGAGACTCCAATGTCATACTCACACCCCAAACACAAACTTTTATGAAAGGGGGGTAAGGTAACAGACACATATAAAAATAAAAAATAAAAACAAAAAATCCCCCACACAAAATCTTTAAAAATCACATCTAACTGCTTAGAAACCAGTACTCCATCCTTGAGGCTGGGTTTCTCTGAGTCTGACTAGTTCTAGAATAGCTGTCTCTCTGCAGGGGTTGTGGGGGTGGTACAAAAGACACACACCAGCAGACTCAGGTCACAGGGGTAGATGCTCAGGAGTTTCAATCTAGTTCTGAAGCCCTGAATATTACTGTACTGCTGTTAATCCCTATTCCACAATAAAGCTTAGAAAGGCTGGTCCTACTATCAGAGAAGGAGTCAGGAGCAGCAACAAGAAAGAGCTCATTAGCTGAGCAGCAAGACCTAAGGCCAATCAAGAAAAACCTCCTTCTGAAATACCCTTTTCAAAGGGGCTGCTGCCTGAAAGTGCTGCCCCTAACTGAAATGGGCTTTCCCACATCAGTTAAGGTGATCATGAGACTATTCTGGAGAGGCTCCCTACTTGGGAAAGTCTAATATGTTAAAATCAACAATAAAAAAGCCAGGCACTCCTAAGGGGAAGGCAGAAATCTGAGTTCAAGGTCAGCCTGGTCTACAGAGTAAGTTCCAGGACAGCCAGGATAACACAGAGACAGATATTCAGTTGCCTTGAAAAACAACAATAGTGGGGTGGTTTGAAAGAAAATGGCCCCCAAAGGGAATGGCACTAACTCTGGTCTGCTATGCTCACGCACACCCAGCGAGACAGACTACATCTGTTGCTTGCACCAAGTCTGCCTGCATTCTACCATGTCACACCAAGATGATAACGAACTAAACCTCTAAAAATGTAAGCCGCCCAATTGTTTTCCATTTATGACAGTTGCTGTGGTTATGGTGTCTCTCACAACAATAGAAACCCTAACTGAGGTGAACAGTTTACCATCACTGAACTTGTGCAAAATGGAACCCATCAACATGACTGCGTGAATGGAGGAGGGGGTCCATGAGGCCCCTCTCTCCCTGAGGCATTGCCTTCGGGGGTAATGGTTGCTGCAGGAGGAAGTCACACCTACTTATAAGTTGCCCACGAGGTAGAGCGCCTAATCACATACATTCAAATAACCTTAATTACACCCAGTGGGTCCTAAGTTTTTACAAATGAGAGCTAGCCCCAAATCTCAAATGCCAATGAAAGAGAGGCCAACACTATCAAGGCACATTTGCCTTCTTCCACCCAGAGTAGAAACAACACACTGCTGTGCTGACATCTTCCAAACATGGTTTCCCTAAAACAGGCATAGATTATGGTCTAGATAATCAATATTAAAATGCAAGGGCATTTTCTCTGTCCACAAAATCATTTAACCCTTGTGGTTTATCATATATCATATAATTTACAATCCTTTAATATCAAAGTGGTGCCTTAAGTATTGTTGAAAAGGTTCTACCAGCAAGGATATCTCTTGACATACACACGCACACATTCACACACACGCACACACACACACTCACACTCACTCACACACACACTCACACACGCAAAGACAAACAAAAATCAAAGAAGCAGACAGGACTCCTAGACAAAACATACCTCTCCTATCTGCCCCACTGTTCAAAGCCTGCTGATTTTAAGCACTGTACTGCACGGACCTGATACTCACAGGAAACACACTAGTCATGGTTGCACTTACTTTTATACTTGTAAAGAAGCTCTCTTCAAGATTACTATGAATGAAACCAAAGCATTATAAGGCATTTTTGTTCACTTGAATAACAGAGATTAACACTCATTTAAAACAGGGATTACTTTAGAATGGACTTGAAAAATAAGTGGGGTTTTATTATTTAGAAATGAGCTAGATATGGCAATATTCAGTTGATTATATTTAAGTGTAAAATATCTCGCAAATACTATGTTATATTACCTTAAGGTGCATTAATGCAAATTTAGGTTCAAATATTGGATTTTTAAGAAAGGTATATTCAGAATATCTAAAAGAATTGGGGTTTTTTCTTCAAAAGTTAGTCATATTGACCAAATTTATTGGTTCATCAAACTTTATAGTCCAAGTATGTGGATTTGTTTTTAATAAAATATCATTTTTTCACATATCAATCAGAGCACAAGGCCTAAATACTTACATGCAAAAATTAATTGTCACAGCCTATTTGGTTAATTTCTATTACATTTTTCCATAATACACAATGCATTAGAGAGTAGAATCAAATTTCAAACATAAAAAATAAACTGATTATACTGTCCTGGAAATACTGAAATATAGCAAGCTTGCAAAATTGTTTTAAGGGAGAAAAATCTTTAACTTAACCGACAAACATTATTCCCTAACTGAAGGTACAACAAGCTCACCATTCTGTGATGCTTAAATTCACAGAAACTAAAGAGAGGAGCCTTGTACTGCATTACATTTGTTAATCATGGTCTCCTCCAATCACAGACGCACACTGAAAAATAATATTTAATCTAATTCCAGAAATTCTGATTCATGGTTACAGACAACAATGCTAGGGAAAAAAAGACAATATCACAAACACATCTGAATTAAATATTTCTTTAGCAGGAAGAAAAATAGCTGGTTTAGATGAATATTGCCCTTAAAAGTAGCCAGCTGTTCAGATATCTACAGCATTTTCACACTGCTGAACAAGGTTGGTATAATGGCTGCAAAAGCAAAGTGCATTATGGGAGAGGAAGCCACATGAGCTTTGTCAGCAGAGGAAGCTGCAGTGTTCCCAGTGGGCAATAGGTTTAAATCTTGGTAACCAACCTAAGACAACACTGAGAGGTGGTGGAAGCTGTAAGCAGCCTGGCTGACTGGCAGGAATCTGGTCCCTTTCTGAATCTCCTTCCCACACTAGGTTGTCCTAGCACTGGGAGGCTAAGTCACTGTTTTACTGCAGTAATAAGACAGCATGGCTGAGGCAAAGCATAGAGGATAGAGGTCATTCAGGGTTAAATTCAAGAGGTGCGTCCATGACCATAGGGACTGGGAGCAACGCAGCGGGCAGGCATGGCACTGGAACAATAGCTGAAGGCTTTTACACACACACACACACACATACACACACACACACACCAGCAAGTAAGTAGAAAGCGTGGGGTGGGGGCCAACCACTAAACGGGAAGAGAGCTGCTTTTGAAACCTCAAAGTGACATACAACAAGATCATGCCTCCTCATCCTTCCCAGACAGTTCCACCAGCTGGGGACCAAGTACTCAAATATCTGAGTCTATGGGGCATTCTCACTCGAGCCACCACATCCCTCCAGACTAATTTATACTACTGAGCTAAGGAAACAGGAAACGCCTACAAAACATAGGAAAGCTAAATAGAAAAACCAAACTCATGGTATCTTCTCATTGAAGGTGTTGGCATGATAAGTAATATGTATATAAAGATTAATTATACATGTGATTTTGATCTGAGGGAGAAAAAATAACACAAATTCTTTTCTATCTTTCTGATTTCTACAAGTTATAGCTATAAAATAATCATAATGTATTGTGCAGGATTATAGAATGACTGAAAAAACTCATGTGAAAGCAAAAGGAACAAATACTAAGTATGGGGGGCTGGAAAGGTGGCTCAGCAGTTAAGGACACTAACTGCTCTAGCAGAGGACTTGGGTTCAATTCCAGCACCCACATGGCAGCTAACAACAGTCTCTAACACCAACATCTCTCTGACACCCTCACAGACATACATCAAGGCAAAATACTAATACAAATGAAGTAAAATGAATTCTTTTAAAAAATACTAGTATGAAATATACTTTTGGCAAATCCCAAATTATTCTCTGAAAGTATACAATTTTCTACATTTCAAGAATAATCTGCTAACTGGGTATATTTCAGCCAGAAAGAGGTTGGCTATAACAATGAAAAGTATGAGAAACTGAAGCTCAGGTGAAAAGGAGGCAGACACAATACGGCAATATTTGAGTGTATCCATAGTCTGTAACCACACTCTAAGGCTAAGAAAACTGAAAGCATCTTAATTAGGAAAGGGCCATTAGACATGTTAGATACTACTGAAAGGGTGGGGGACCAGCATTATTGTGTGGATGACTTCAGAGATGTCAACATGCTGTGACTGACACTCAGGAGAGCATAGAATCTGAGTATTTTCTGGGGTTTAGAGGGAGGCTGAAAACCCAGCCTGCAGTCCAGGAAGCTGAGGGTGTTTCTAGGAGTGTTGAGTGAGTACACTTCCAAAGCATGGAAGCTATCACAGCTATCACAGTAGGGATGCTGCCCTGGCAGCCAACACTGCTTGATATCAGCTACAATGACTAGGCCTGCATGGTGACCTAATTACCATACACCACCAAGGGAAAACAAACCTGGCAGATCAGGACACAATAATTGTGGCGTTGTTTTTCATGACCTGGCAACTGTAGTATTAACTGGAGAATGACATGGGATATTTTCTTTTTAACATCAGCATTGTGTTTGGTTCTAGAGTACGAACTCAAAAATGTCATTTTAAAACCCCCGAATAAGAATATAGTAAAGACAACATTCATTTATCCCACCCCAACCCCAGTAATTAGTTTTAAACATTTGCTTTAGCATACATGAAGGTGTTTAACAGGGTCAATTCTTCTAATTCTATAGTTTTGTTTATATCAATGTACCTCTCAAGTATTTCATTACTTGGTTTTTAAAACTTCCACATGCCATTGCATTTTTCTGGAAAGTTGACACAATAAATGGCATTCAGGAAGAAAGTTACAAATTCAAGATGAACCACTGACACAAATCTGAGAAGTTATTTCATTAAACGAAACTAAAAGTGGACAAAACAACTGTACTTATTACATACAAAATACAAAGGAATGAAAATTACCTTTCTTTTGGGGTGCCAACTCCATGTTTGCCTAGTAGGTGAGTATTTAGGTGCTTCTTCATTACAAAAGCAACCCTAAAAAATAAATGAAAATGAATTATAGAATTATATCTTGACAATTGTCTTGAAATCTGTAGAGAACATTTAAAAATGATTATGGTATGGGCATACATTAGCACACCACAGGCACACTCAGAGAATAGCTCTTGGACAAGAGTGCCTCTTCGTTAAAGAGATAAGTACACCTAACACCTAAATTGCTGAGCTCCTTTTCTGGTTTGGGAAATCAGCCACGTCCAAGATCAAGGGATGGCTGTGGTTCTTTTAGGTACTGCCTCCACTGTCAGCTGGCAAGAAAGATGAATGAAAGGTAGCATGTGTAATGTTCAGGACCCCAGTCAATCTCACACTTCAGTCATAAAGTGGGCTTGAGAAAATGTCATTTTATTAAATATTTAAAAGATTATAAAAGAGAAAACGAGTATGTTACATAAGGCTTCTTTAAAAACACGGTTGTAATTGGAATAAAGGTTTTTAAAATGACATAAATGTTTATTATGTCTACAGCATGCAATGCAAATACACCAATGTGCTTTTGTGCCAACAAAATATCAATGTAAGTGGGGTAAACAAGAGTAGCTCCAGACTCACTATCTTGATTGACAGAGAGATGGGCTAATCAGCATCTGTATGGAATGGAGAGAATGCTCTCCAGCTCCCACAGCGCCCTCCTTCCCACAGCACCACACTGACTGTGTGACTCTCCACAGCACCAGATCTCATTCTGAAGCATCAGACAAAAAAGGCTAATTTGAAAAGTGGAGGGAGGGGGAGAATTTCCTGTTGTAACTTTGAGTGTAAAGGGCTTGCAAACATTTTTGTTAATTATGTATTACAGCTGTCCTTCATAAAGTTAATTACTAATAGCTAAAAGGCAACTGAATCAATTTGCATATGTACATGAAAGGCATGACACATGCAAAAATATGATTTTAATTAGCATTCTATGATATAAAAGGCTACAAATCAAATTGACATGTTATAAGACTCTTAACATTAAACACTGGATTTATCTGGACATGTTTGCACAAATGGGCAATGTGAAGAATGTAGAGTACTGCAGCCTCTCAGAGGGGATTTCCCCCCAAAAAATCAGGAGTCTCTAGAATCACAAAATCTACTTTTTAAAAATAATATATGTATGTTTATTTTCATATAATAGTAGAGGAGTTTAGGGAGAAAATAATATATTTGCATTTTAGATGATCTTGACTTCGTTATTCAAATAAACGTGCATAGGCTGACACCACCACCCATTCTGTTTCATACGTAGGCAATAACAACTATGACGATGGATGTTTGTAACGACGAATAGCTTGGGCATCTCATCAATCATCATAATGGAAAGATAATAATCACGTTTAAAGAATCAAACTGTGATAATATTAAGTGGTGAGCCAAACAGCAACAGCATAAGATGTTCTATATTTGTTTCTGCTTGATTTGAAGAGGATAAATAACATTTTTCATATCCTGAAAAAGAATACAGTAAAAACAGGAGTCCATTTAAGTCATAACTTTCCTAGTGTCCTCCATTTTCCCATAATTAAAAAAACATAAAGCTAACAGCAGTGAGCAAAGGTTAAAAATCCAAAGCTGCACAGCCCGGCTCATTTCCATGACCAGGGACAGGGTAAGAGATCTGAACTCAGAAGCCACAGTGCAGTGTTCGTAATAGAGAAGCATTCATTAATTAGAATGCTAAAGTCTTAAAAAAAAAATCCAAACCAAAATGTTCCATTGCAGAGGAAAACAACCTCACAGGAAGGAACTCTTACATGATACATGCTCTAAGTCTGCAAAGGGATTGTACTGTTAGAAGCTCAGGAGGAGATTTGTTACTACTAGGGAAAATGAAAAATGTATGCAGACTAGAATATGAGCTTACGTACAAGTGCAAAATATTTGCTCATCCAGTGTAACTTACACGACAGCCCTTATATCTGGCTATTTAAAATATGAGCAGTTCAATAGTTTCAATATAATTTTGAGTTTGTAAAAAAATGTGTGAACATTGCCTATCATCTGTCCACAGCATAAATAGACTACTGATTTTGGATAATTCACAGATACAACCAGAAACAAAAATGACCTTCCAAAAGAGCCCCAGCTGAAATGCCTTGCTAAGCAACATCCATGCTCTGGTCTCTGAAGCTCTATGTCAACACGCTAACTGTCAGTTGTATGTGCCAGGTACTGGGTGAGTTCTGCAGAAAACAGAAAACCGAAGTGACAGCAGGCCTTCATGGAAGTTTCTTCTTATACCGACAACAGAGGAATATAGGTAGATTAGCACAAAGCCTATAATATTGCTCCTTCGTTGGCACTGCTAATCATGCATGCATACGTTCCACTCATAGATTCATCAAGAACCAGTGCTGGGCACAGCAGAGAAGAGTAGATCTAAGCAGCCAGCTCTGTTGAACATGGGAACAAATGAAAGCCCCTGCTCTAGGAAATGTAGTTCAGGTGAAGAAGACGGGCAACAAGGGAAAACAGAAAGCAATTTATGCAATGGTGGGAGTTATGTCTGTGGGAGAAGAAAATGCACAGTGGGAACTGAGAGAGGATGAAGACCCTACCACTTAATGAGCAAAGGTGATGGTTCCATTCAGAGAAGAGACACCACAGACATCTGATGGGCCCGACTTGCTTGCCTAACAATACAGAGGAGGCCCAAGGCTACACTGGCATAAAGAGGCATGGAAGCCAGGATGGGGAGAAGGGAATGAGAACAGACCAGGCAGGCAACAGTCATGGTGGGGTAGACCATAAAGGCCTTGGCTTTTATTCTGTAGGTAATCGAAACAGAGGTGCGTTATCTGGCTTCCATTTTAACAGCAGTGTGCTCAATCTCTCTGTCTGTTTTCCCACAGACACCAGGCCTGGAGGTGACATGTAGCCTTCTCTGGAAGAGACACAGGTAAGGAGAGCTGTGAAGAGGATAGCGGGAACGTCTGCTATGGATAGTGGTGACCACAGATGGATGGCACTGGGTGTGGATTCTGAATGAAGAAAGATGAATGAAGGAGGCTCAGTAAAAGCACTAAGGCAGCCCACAAGACCAGGAGAGACATATCAGACCAAAGTCTGCCTCCGCTGCTAATGAACCCCATAACGGGAGAAAGGTCCTTATCTAAGCTGTCTGCCTGGTAAGACCCTGACCATCTGAAAACAAGTAATTTCTTTTTTTAAAAATTTGGGGCAGGAGCTAGCAAGATGGCTCAGGAGTAACAGAGATTGTTGTCAAGAACTTATGTAGTAGAAAGAGAACCAGTTACCATAAATTGTCCTCTGACCTGGATGAGCAGGCTGTGGCAAGCATGTGCCAACACACACACAAACATACACACACACACAGAAAGGGGGGGGGGGTAAAAAGTTATTTGAAAGATATGATTAGCCCAGGCTGACCTCAAACTTGTAATCTCCCTGCCTCCTACTGGCGTGTACCACTTTAGGCATCTATCCAAAGGATAAGCAGTCATACCACAAGGACCCTTTCCAACTATGTTCATAACAGATTTATTCATAATAGCCTGAACCTGGAAGCAACCTACATGTCCCTTTAACCGAAGAATGTATAAGAAAAATGTGGTACATTTACACAATGGAGTACTGCTCAGCAGTGAAAAACAATGAGCTCATGAAATTTGCAGGCAGATGGACAGGACTAGAAAAAACATCATTCTGGATGAGGTAACCCAGACCCAGAAAGACAAAATGACATGTGCTCACATCTAATGCTGACCTCTTGAATCTTACCTTAGAGGGACATAGTCTGTGTACAGGAATAAAAAAGCTTGCTTTAATTAATTTGGCCATGATGGTTTGGGTTGGTGGGATTAGGACAAGACTCTGTAAATGCATGAAATCATATCACTTCAACTGGGTTTTGGTGTCCAGAGCACAGTAAGTAGAGTGCTAACATTTACACTCCAGTTTTCAAGAACTAAACCTCATTTTAACTCTCCCTTCAAAGCAGTTTTCCTAGATTGTAGATGATGACATCTCTCCCATCAGGGCTTGGGGTTTCAACAATTGAACACTCTCTCCATTCACTGCTATGAATGGCCATCTGCTTATCAAAGTAAATGCAGCATCATGAGCACAGGAAGATATGAGAAGCAACTGAAATGCAGTTTTAATTGCTCATCGCCCTAACTTACTAACTTGTAAGGCAAGTGCTGAAGTGCACACACCAAAAGACAGAACTACACCTGGAGGCAGGAGCCTTGTGTTCTCTGCTGCAGGCAAACAGACCGTTAACAGCGTGTCCTCCTGAGGGCTGCCCGCCTTCATGCCAACTCTTCTACTGTTCTGAGATTAATATGTTTAACTCCACAAATTTCTCTTATATAAGTAATAACTAGATTCAACTTTGCATAGACCCCAAGTACAAAGAGAGCAAGGCCTTCCAAAGGATAAGGATATTTCTAGGGGAGAAGTTACTGTAAGCACATTTGAGAAAAAGACACATTATAAAGCAACTGCCCTCATGAATTCAAAGACAGTATCTGACATATACTAAGGGCAGCAAGTACCCTGACACTTGCTCGCATCACCGCCCTGATGATACCAGTGAGACATCGGCCCTCACCTATCCAGGAATCCCCACAGCTCCCAAACAGCTGGACAGAGGACAAGTCTCACTCAGTAAAAAGCCCTGCGATTCAACAGTCAAATTATTTACTTTTTTAATCTCTACAAATAAAAAGGTCACCAAAAAGATAACAGGTCTGGTAGCCAGCGGGCAAAGGCTAATGAATAAATATAAAAAAGTGTTTACAGCTGAAACACATATGGACCGTGAACTACTTCTATCATTCCAACAAGAGTAATGTTGGCCCTTTAAGTAAAAATTACAAATCTAAGCATGGCACCTTGGGGAAGGCCAGCACAAAGACAGTAGGCCAACTCTGGCTCTGTCATTTATACGGGTACAGATGAGGATGCTATGTGCATTCTCGCAAAGAAAAGATTTCACAGGAGGGCTGTGATAGAGGAGAAACTCTAAGAACTGGCATCATGAGCA